GCTACTTCAGAAGCTGGACAATAGTGTTTGTTTTATTTACTTCAATATCAATTTACAGATCACACCAGTTCTGGGTCTCAGAATAAATACGATATTGGAAAAAAGAAGAATCAATTTAATTGTGGTATTTAAAATCAGGACCAGCAGACACATGTTGAGAAGGTGTGACTCAGTGACTCTGCTTTAAAAATACTTTTGGGGTGTTAAACTGTGAAATAGAAGAAGTCAATTTATATGCCCCGTCTGGTGAAATAGTTATTTGGGGCTTATTTGGTGGCTCTGGTAGTAAAGGCACATCCACTGAGTGCAGGTTGGCCTCATGAGTTTGATCGTGGGTCATGTCACAAGCTGACAGTGACCAAGATGCTCCTGTCACGATCGTAAACCCCTTCTCTTAAGGACGCTCCAGGACGCTTTACCTGATCTCCTGCACGTGCCTCCTGTTCCAGTCTCCCCTTTAAAAGCTAGACGCTCCCACCATTCCAGGCTCAGCTTTGGAAGATGGATGCCCGGAAGCCCACCTACCAGCGAGTCCAGGAGGGGCTTGACGGTATAGGCTTCGCAACGGCGTCCTGACCATCTGGGTCCGGGGCTGGGAGCGCCTGGCCCCGTAACCCCCTTTTATTCCCCCGATCCTTCGCCGGATCCCGCTCCGGCTTTTAACTCCTGTCTTGCTTGTCTAGGATGGATTACCCGGCTCTGGACTTTTGCTCACTCTTGGATATTCTTAAGGAAGCACCTTCAAACTTGTTTGCCTGGAGCACTCCCTCCTGTGCACCGGCGCACCTTGGACACGCCCCCCTGTTCTTCCAGCCCCAATCCTAGTCTTTTTCCCCGTGTTGTCTCACTCCCCTCCAGATTCTGCTGCCTGCATAGGGTCCTGAAAACCATTTCGTGAGAGCTCCCAACAGTGGTGCACAGCTGACTGAGCATTCCTGGGTTTAGTGTTGGGATTTGTTGTCCAGAGCACTTGTCCATGCCGCGGCCAGCAGAGGATTCCTACTCCGCTGGGCCCCTGAACAAGGCCCTTTAACCCCAACTGCTCCAGGGGTGCTGTATAAATGGCTAACCCTGTACTCTGACCCCAAGCTCCTCTCTCCCCGTCTGTCAGTCTCATGGAGAGCAAGCTGGGGTATGCAAAAAAAAACAAATTCCTAACATAAGAAATTGTATATGGCCAATAAAGTGATCTTATATGATCACAATTGGCTTTCAGCAAAACAGTGGCTGTGTTGTGCATGCTAGTAATTAAAGATAAATATTATAGTTATTTGAAAATTATGTATCCAGTCCATGATTTGGTCCAAGTAGGTGTGTAAGTTGCAAGTGCAAAATAAGTAAGTGCAAGAGTCTAGACCTGGAAAAGCAGTTGTCCCATGGCCATCTCTTTGGATTCCCATATTATTCATTTGAATCATCTTTGATGGAGCTCTTCAGAAGCTTTGCGGAAATATGCTTATATACTCTATAGAAAAATATGTGGCATATGCTTAAGTGTTTTCTAATGACCTTGTTGGTTTGAACAATTTAAACAAAAAGTTTTCACACAAGACCTTCTCAAATCTATGGACGTCACTTAAAATTCTGATAATTAATGTTATCCTGATGAGCTCTATCCATTCTAAAGTTAAAAATACATGAAGGAGAAAGAGAGAAGACTATATAAAATATAGGACATATGCATTTGAAGAAATAATCCTCTTTAAAATCATGTGTGTCAAAATCATGTTAAAATGAAGACTTTATGACTAACTAAGGAAAAAGAATCAGCACTGATAACTGGAATAATTGTGGCCAAAGAATACTTTCAAAAATTAACATGTGATTGTATCCTGTTTCAAGAGCTGGTTGAATGAGATTATCCCCTCAATTACAATGGAGTAATTTGTGACTACTTCTATAATACATTTTGACTCTATTCTTATCTCAACAAGAAAACTATAAAATACATAAACATGTTTGATCTTTTTATTCATTATCTGGCTCTTTTTCTGGTGTTTCTTAGTTTTTTGGTTCAGCTAGAATACTTAGAACAAGCATTTTATCACTGACATCACAGGATGTGGTGCAACAGTTGACAACCCTCCTTCTTTCTAAAGATTAAAAATAGGCACCTGAGACTGCTGAGGCAGAAAAAAAGCTACATCCAGCTACATTTAAAGAAAACAGAAATGTGGTGAATTGACGGCCACTACAGAATTTAGCAACAAAGAGATACTGATAAAAGTAAGTATTTAAGACTTTTTGCTTGTTTTTAATGGTGTGCCACTATGCGTAACATAGCTTTTGTTTCCTCTGCAGTGATCCATGTTTTTACACTTTCTATTCACTTTTCAAACATCAGGGAGTCAGCGAGGCATGCAGCAGTCACCACTAACAGAGTGATGCAGATTGCACAGGATATTGGTTTTCTGTTGGGTTTTTTTTCTACGTTTGAACAATATTTAAAATTCAGCGCTGCCCGAGAGAAAATAGGAATAATCTAGAATATTGCTATTAATATCTAGGCAATTATTTAATGTTAACGCAGACATATCCATCTTGACAATATATATTTATAGGAAAACATGGCGCAATCCTTTTCTTAAAATGAATTAAACATTTATTTCCAAATGAGAAGGGTTGAAGAAAATGAAAAAAAAAATGAATGTGATAATTGCCTCACCTCAGTTTATGCTTATTTTAGGTTTTAAGAAAAATCATTAGATAATTGCTTCATACATAAACTGTACATAGATGTGTATAGGAAAAGAATATGTGCTGGAGATCGTAATTATTATCGAAACAATTTGGAAAACAGTTATGAGCCTTTAGGAAATTCTAAGATCTACAGCACCAGGATTTCCAGGATTCTATTTCCAACTGATCTGCTCTTGCTATCTACAGTTAGAAAATATGGACCTAAAGACTACTACTTAGATACCAGGGCTATGAATACAGTATCATACTGGGAATTTGAAAATACTGTACATACTGTACACCATAGTGAATAAAACTATAGTAATAGGAAAAGAACATAATGATATAACACTATATTTTAATTGTGTGGCCTGCTTTAGGTGAGACAGGCCTGGAAATGATTTGACATGTCTCTTCAAATACAAATGTGCAGGAATTAGAAAAACAAGTTGTGGGAGGGTGGAACAAGCTACCCAGCCATGTTGTTGAAGTTTATACTCTGGATTCCTTTAAAAACTGCTACAGTAGATGAGATCCTGGGATCAATCAGGTACTAAATAACAAACAAGCTATTTGGGCCCAATGACATTCTCTTGTGTGTTCTTTAGGAAAAGTCACAATAAAAGCAATATGTTAACATAATCTCAAGAGGTCCAATGCATACTCATAACCTAAACAATCTAATTAGCTCTAATCTGTTTAGTCTGAAAATTGAACAATCTAAGCAATTGTCTAATCAATCAATTAACCTGTCCCATTAGAAAATATTTCCCAAATTACAATAAACAGTTATGGCCATGGAATACAATTTTGATCCTCTGGAGTTAAACTAGCAGACGTTGGTTCATCTCCAGATAAACACAGAAAAAAAGATACGTTTCACATTTCACAGAACCCAGTGTAATTTACATACTGTATCAGCAACAGAATCACCAACTTTGCAAAGCTGATGTTGAGAACCTGTGAGTTTATCTAGTAGCAGTTTGTTGTATGAAAATTATATTTAATCCATATCTCTATGTCAAGCAGGGACTTCTAAAGTGCAGAGACCACAGCATCTGATGTGGCCCATCAGTCAACTTGTCAAGGGTGTTGAAGTGAAACCCAGTTGGCTTCTTAGTCAATTAGTAGCTGAGTGCCAGTGATCCCCAAATGATACTTCCGTATAGATTCTCAATACTGGAGGATTATTAGGTACTAAGTATCATTTAATCTACCAATTTAATCACATGAGCATCTTCAGATAATAGGTACAGTAGGTGTCATTACTGCAGGAGATGAGATCAACACCTGGTTATGATTTTGTTGTGCAAGAATTCCATGAATGTGATGTGCTCTTTTGTAGTGGGGGAGATCAATTATTTGAAACATTTTATTAATGTCAGAAGAAAGGATTACTGCAGCCATCCTATCTCAGTAGCACAGGTATAATTATCATCATTAACGAATCATAAATTCATTGCCTAGAGTGAGGACGGCCATCAGTCCTGGGACCTCCTGGGTTTTCCTTTCTCTCCTCCATGCCCACATTTGTGCCCAGAACTGTTGAACACAATACTATTATGTAACCTGCTCTGTGGTGTGAAGAACAAGATTGATTGATTCATTCATTCATTCATTGGATGGCATTCTGTTTACATACTACCCTACGTAAACAGAATAAGAATACAGAATCTGTATTTTGTCCAATTCCTTCCTAATCCCCTTTATTGGCACATTGTCTTTTATTACACCCGGCTAAAAGTACTGCACAATTCCTACAAATAACAAAATCTAGAGGTATTAAGATCAGAAGCTATAATTAAGAGTAAAAAAGCTGCATAAAAGTCAGTATTTATCAAAAGCATTAAAAAATCCAAGGATAAGTCTTTCTGCTGTGCATGTTCTATCTGTACATAAATAAAGGTTACATACACAAGAAGGAAATGAACCCTGATGATTTATTCTCATTTATTTTAGGATCTGCAGTATCTGATTCCAGCTTCACATGGACTGAATGTCACCCTGCCTGCTAACTTGGAGAAACAGACCACGATGCTTTATAATGGACCGTGATCATCTATAGAACCGAAGGGCTGTTCACTGTTAAGCTCAGCTGAAAACACAACATGGACATGTGCGAACACCAGCATCATCATGTGGTTTTCCTGGCGCGCTTCCCTTCCTCCTTGCATATTTTGGTTTGATATCTTTTCTCATTTGCATAATAGATGGTTAGAAATAGAACACCACGCTGCAAAGGGTCAGAACCTGTGGAATGCAAGAAATAAAACTGTTGTCCAGATACAGCTCTCTGTTGAACTGAAATAACAAGTCCTTGCTTGGCACTGGGCATTTGGCTTTTTAATTTACTTAATGCCAATGAGAAGGAACACAAGATTTCCTTATAACTGCGTTTTTTGTCCACAAGAATCTGTTTATCATTATTGTCCTAGTGCGGCAGTATAAATTTGTAAGCTGTGTGCGGCAGAGATGGCAGAGGACAGTTGTAATATTACCTTAGCTGTTGACAGTGTAGGACTGATATCCATCTATAGCTTGGTGTTCGCACTGGCATTGCCTTGCAATCTGCTATCACTGTGGGGACTCTACCGGCTTCTCCGTTCCGGCAACGTAATGCCCATCTTCATCTTTAATCTGCTGGTGTCTGATCTTCTCCAGGTTCTCACCTTCCCCATGTGGATCATCTACTTGAAAAACGGGCACCAGTGGACCTTTCAGGCTGGTGCCTGTAACTTTGTGGGTTTCCTCTTCTACATTAACCTCTATGCCAGTGTGGCATTCTTAAGTCTGGTGGCACTGGACCGCTATCTTGCCATCGTTCACCCCCTCAGAAGCAGAGGGTTCCGGACAGTCAAGGTGGCACTGGTCACCAGTGTGATTGTGTGGGTGGTCACTTTCCTGTTTTGCCTCAGTGGGCTTTACCCCACTGTCTACGACGAGAAAAAACAACTTTGCCTGGAAAAATATCCTGTTGCCAAGCGGTATGCCATGTTCAAGATAGTAACCGTTATCCTGGGATTCCTGGTGCCTTGTTGCATTCTAGGGTATGTAAGACTGCTGTCTGATTTTCTCTTTCTTCAACACGTCAAATCAAGATACTTATAATCAATTTGTGTGGGTGGTGCCTTTGGAGCAGTACGGTGGTGCAGTGGTTAACATTGCTGCCTTCAGGGAGCTGAGACCCCAGGTTCTATTCGGGACTTGGGGTGCTACCTGCATGGAGTTTGCGCGGGCTTCCTTTGAGTGCTCAGGTTTACTCCCACAGTGAAAAGACATGCTGGTGGGTTAATTGCCTTCTGGGAAAATTGCCCCTGGTATGAATGTGAATGTGTGTGTCCCACAATGGCCTGCCAACCTATCCAGGGTGTACTGTGCCTTGCAGACCCTGAATTCAAAGAAGCAGTTAGAAAATGGATGGATGGGTATAATGTCTAATGACCCTTTAAGTGTGAGGCAGTGATAGAGGAATTGCACAAATGCTGAGAGCTGTTTAATGAAGTATGCTGCACCTAATGTCTTTTCCCCCCCATCCTCAAAAGGTACACATCTGTCCGAATCCGCTGGGAACTGCGTTCCTCCCCATCTGTGACCCAAGAAGAGAGGAGGAAGATTGTCGGAATTCTGTGCATCATCACAGTCATCTTCATCGTGGTTTTTGGCCCTTACCATTTAGTAGGAAGCTACAAGTTTGTGTATTATTTCATCACCGACAGCAACTGTGACATGGAAAGGACTCTCTTCCTCTGCTACCGCTTGTGCTACGGGCTCACCAGCCTCAACAGCTTGCTGGATCCCCTCCTCTACATCTTCATTTGCGATAACATCAGGCAGGAGCTGAAGAAGTCCCTGCCATGCCTGAGGGCATACAAGATGAGAAAGGAAAGCCAAGTCCAACTCAACAGCAATGTTGAAATTGCATCACTGTAAGAAAACAGGCTGTTCTGCAGCAGCCACTGTGGACAAATTCAAAACCTCTGTATTTAAATTCGAAACCATCCATCCTTCCATTTTCTAAACCTCTTTACAAAGTGCAGGGTCACAGGGAGGATGCTGGAGCTATCCTGGCAAGCCATAGGTGGACACATTCACACCAGGGCCAATTTTCCAAGAAGCCAATTGACCAGAAGCCAGTAAACCAAAGAACCGGGAGGCAAAAGGCAGGAAACAGTCTGGACAGGATGCCAATCCATTGCAGGGCACACAGACATGGACACAAACATTCACCAGGGCCAATTTTCCCAGAAGTCAAATAACCTATCTTTGGTCTGTGGGAAAAAAACTGAAGGAAACCCATGACCCTGAATTGGAAGAAGCGCTCAGAAAATGGATGGATGGATATGAAAAATATTTCAATATTTAGTTTCTGGGTGCCTCCAATAGTCAAGATAATCCATGATAATAGATTTAAGACAATTCTGAGTGTGATAGAAATACCTCCTGTTTTCAGTCCTAAATGCGTATCTTTTTTAGTTCCCTCAGTGCCATCACTGAGCTGACACGATCATTTCCTTTCAGGAATTTAAATGTCTTTATTGCTCGTGCTGTCTTGAAGTTACCTTTTCCTCAGTTCAGACCTTAAGATGTTTAGTTTCTTTAGACTGTGGGTGGTGTTAAATAAAGGATTAGCCTTGTTGCTGTCTTTTGAATGCTTTGAAACTCTACAGGAACGCTGGTTCGTGAAGCCCACAGACACCATAAGTTACAAAGTGTGATTTCTGGCTAACATGAGGACTAAGGAAAGGAGTCTTCCAGGTTCTCTGGTTTTATTGTGGGCCCAAATAACATGAATGTGATATCCAGATCATATTAAAATACTGTATACCAGATCAATTACGTTCCCTTGTGTAACAGTATTACACAGGAGCTGCTGTCTATTTCAGCAAGCAAAGGATTCAAGGCAGGATACAGCCTGGACTAGATGCCAGTCCAATTCAGCGCACACAGGCACACACTCACATATTCCCAGAAGCCACTTAACCTGCCAGAAACTCTTTGGAGGAAACTAGGGCAGCAGTGGAAAACCCACACAAACATGGGGAGACCATTTAAATTCCACACATGTAGCACCAAAAGAGTAGTGAATCCAGAGCCTCAACACTGTGAGACAGCAATCATAAGCTGCACTGTGCAGTCCCTAGTTTTATAATTTGTCTGCATCTTGTTCTGTTGCGTTTTGAATAAGGACATTAAAAGTATGTTGGGAAATGACTGATTGCAAGAAACGACAGAGAATATCAGTACTGTCAAATGTCTCCTGTCCATGTTTCTTTTCTGTCGAGTGGAACAGGCATGAAAAAAGTAAATGCTGTTTCTTGACTTGTCTACTCTATCTGTATAATTCTATGCCTTGTAACATTTTTCTCTTTTAAAGTAATGCAAAGTGTGATTTATTGTTGGCTAATGCATTGCAGCAGTAATATTTCATCATTTCTTAAGGTGCTTTTTGCTGTTGCTTTTCAGCCTATGCAGCTCACTGTGTTTTGTTTTAATTAGTATGTGCAGTAAGATATAGATTCCATTGTGACCAATATTGTTCTGCCCTGTGTCATAAATAATAGTCATTGCTAATGCCTTTCAGCTGCATTTGAACTCATTACTATTAACAGTGTTCCTTCCTACTCTCTCACTACACTGTAATCAACAGTTTCTGCACTGAACCAAGATCAAAGAGCAAAGAAAATTGCTCCACCCAGGAGCTCCAAAGAACTCTTTTTTTCTGTTAGGCACAGAACAGGGTTTCTCAAAATTAGTCTTTGCTGACATCAAGTGTTCAGAAAGGACATGTGTTTCCTTTAATCAATTAATTGTGCAGTTAGTTTTCTACATAATGAAATATTTGATATGACTGGTATTCCTTTATATACTTTTTTTTGTAAAAATAAAAAAATAAACAAATCCAAATATGGTGCATTGTGCTATGATAGCATCATTCCTGGATGGTAATGTATTGTCTATCCATCCATTGTTTCACCTCTTCATCCAATTCAGGGTCGCAGGGGAGCCAGAGCCTGCCCATCAAGCAATGACAAGGCAGGACACACCCTGGATGTGAAACCAGTCCATTGCAGGGTAGACACACAGACACAAACATGTGCACACTCACACCAGGCACACTTTTCCCAGAGGCCAATTAACCTACCAGCATGTCTTTGGACTGTGGGAGGAAACTGGAGCTCCCAGAGCAACCCCACTCGAACATAAGGAGAACTTGCAAACTCCACACAGATAGCACCCCAGCTCTGGAAATCCACCCAGGGCTCCAGCACTGGGAGGTAGCAATGCAAACCATTGTGCCACCATGCCATTCATTATGAATTATTATTAATAAAGTTTAATTGATTATTAATATTATTATTATTCACTTTTTTAACACAAAACCTTCTTAGGAATACTTAGGAAAACTTTTCCTCTCTACTGTATTTCCTATTCCTTGTAAGCACTAATATAATGTGTTGTTTTCTTTCACATTTTTCATGATAAAGAAATGCAGAAAGTCACTCAATGTGCCTACACCGAGTGCTGCTTCTTCCTAAGAGACATCACTCTCAGGATATGTGGGGAGCATTTTAACCTCCAGAGACACACATTCACATACATAGCGAAGTTGGGATACCCCTACACATTTTGGACATTTGTTATATGTCTTAAATCATTTAAAAATGAACACTAGAGCACAATAAAGCAGAGGCATGGCACAGAACACAAATATTAATAACTTAAGGAAATGGGGAGGTTATTGTCAATATTTAAAGTTGAAAGATCCAGAGCTCAGTAGTTCTACATCAGTTAGCCTTAAATTACAAGAAATAACTGCCCACCAATTAGTGTTAATGATTCCCATTTCCCATTCACTGTGAGCTGCACTTAATTTATGCTCATTGTCTTGGTCGTCTGAAATTATGCCATTAGCAGTTTGTTTCCATATACCCCAGTTCTTGCTGCAGAAAACAAATCATCTACAAGTTTGGAATGTAGGTTTTATTTAAAAAAAACTCAAAAACAAAGATTTTAAACAAAAATAAAATGAAATACTTAACAAAATGGTGAATGTGTCCTTCACAAATACAGTGCCATTTTAAAATTAGCTTTTTCAAACTTATTTTTTCTGTTGTGCAACAAAAGACTAGCAGACGGTTAAACACCAGACATTGTTAAATGACTTAGAATTTGAACTTCTCCTGGGAGACGTTTTGCATTTTGTCTGCATCCAGCAAGCAAAATCTTCTCCCATTACCTTTCCCTAAAGGGAAAATTCTTATTCTTATTTCCCTACCCTACCCAAATGAAACAAATAACACCCTTTTTTCTTTACACCATCTTACCTTTCTGTCAAACTGTATGGAACGGTATGTGAATTACCATACTGTCAGAGCATACGTATATTCAGCAGTACATCAGCACTCTGGAAGACTAAAATTAAAATATCTATAGGTGTCTAAAAGAAGGCTTAGTAGACATTCTATTACTCATCGTTTCACCAAAAAGTGAGGTACTATAGAATGTTGAGTATCTATCTGTAGTCTCTAGTTGTTAAAATTAAGAGCAAGAATTTGCGTTCACAGGGCAGCACAGTAGTGCAGTGATTAGCATTCCTGCCTCACACTACTGCCCTGTCCAGGACGTACCCTGCCTTACAGCAGTTGCTTGCCAGGATAGGTTCCGGCTCTCCCAGGACCCGGAATTAGATAAAGCAGTTAAAAAATGGATGGATGGATTTGTGCTTGCATGTCTTGCCAGTAGGAAAAGAATAATAACTCTCTTTAGCTTTGGGCTTCAAAGAGAAGAAAGGGATAATTTTCATTGAATAATGACACTAGACTACAGAGTTCATTTGGACACTCTTCAAAGATCTTCCCCCTAGATATAAATATTGGGCTACAATATATGAGCAATTCTTTTTTTTTTTTACAAACAAAACAGAAAATGAGGCAGTAAAGGGTTCAGATTCTAGAGAAACTCAATCTATAGTAATCTGACCATGAATAAAGTTTCTACTCTACCCTTCTAAATACAACTTAATCCAAGGCATTACAAATAATATGTATATCCAATTTATTCTGAAAAACAACACACAAAAAGGCTCTATACTGGCATAAGTGCCTACATCTTAATAAAATATAAAATTGTAATTTAAACCAGCCCTTGCAACATCTTCTAAATTTGCAAAGAAATGAACCCAGTATTTTTGCTAAACAGTTCTAATTCCACAAGAGTGGAATCAATCAGTTTTTTTCTGAAAACCAACTATTTAATGGTTAATAAAGAAGTATATTTTCAGCAATCATCTTTCTAATAGACATGCATAAATCCTTTGCAGAAAGCATATAAAAGTACAGCTTCTGACCCTTTGTGTTAGTCAGGTGAGCCTCAGTCCATCAGTTCTGGAAAATGTTGCAGGACACAGCATCTTGAGTCTCAAAGACAAAGGACAAAAATAACATAGCTGCACATAATTTTCTTTTGGACAAAGAATGTAAAATACAACACAAGTTAGCTGACAAACGCTGTCTGTTGATTGGAATGACAGGGAGGGATGTCCATTGGTGTCTTGTGAGGTTTTTGAGCTATTGGAACTCCCCACAGTACAGAATGAAGAAAAACAAATGCAGACTGTGCACTGAGAGTATCTGAGAAAATAAACAGGTTCAGCAACTTTTTAAGGTACTGTACATATTACAGTTTACATAGCACAATCTTTAGGAAACGTAAAAGAGACACTTTTTCAAAAACATAGGAATATGTCAATCCTAAAGCTATCAGAAAAACGAATTAAGAATTTCATTTATGCCTTACTGGGTGGCACAGTGCCACAGTGGTTAGTATTGCTGCCTGAATTTCTGTGGGTTTCCTCCAGTTGGTCTGGTTTCCTCCTTACAGTACATACAGTATGGACAGCTTATGTGGCTTCTGGGAAAATTGTGCCTGGTGTGAGTGTGTGTCTTCCCTGCGACAGACTGGTGTCCCGTCCAAGGTGTACCCTGCCATGCTCCCATGAAAAAAAACCCTCAAGCATTTTTGCTAATATATTGGACTTATCAGGATGCTGGGCTACACAACCATCCAGAAACTGATTTTATTCTGTTCAGCTGCAGCATCTCATGCAAATTGCAAAGTAATATTTGATGAGCCCGGTGGGGTGTTAGCTTTCCTCAATGTCTCTGGCTTTTATTTTATTTAAACTCTCACCTTCTTTGTCTAGTTAACGGAGTTTCATTTCAATATTATTCATCAGGTTCTTCATTCATTCAAAAACTTCTCATGAAACTGTCTTTTGACTCAACACTTTCAAGTGTTGAACATTTGCACAAAAAAAAACCACAAAACAAATGACTAAAATAGATTTATACAGCACAGAATAAAAACCATAAATAGGTATAGAGGTAAGCATTGCTGTTTCAAATCTCTTGGGACCTGGGTGGAATTAAAGTCTAGAGAACACATTTTGTGTGGAGTTTATATGTTCCCTGCACTTTTTCTTTCTCTGGGGGCTCTGTTCTCTCTTATAGCTCAAGATCATGCTGGATGATGCTGTTTCTCTGCCCGTTTCAGTCATGTTTATCTAGAAATAGCTGGATGTAGTGGCAACAGTTCCCACAAGTAATAATTAGAAGATAATTTGGGCAAGTACATTATGTAGGGGAACATGTTTAAAGTAGGCGCAACACCTTTACAATTCACAATTTGTTACACCCTCTTAACAGTACTCTTTAAAAAGCATAAATTCAGCAAGATGTCATCAGACAGCATACAATACGTTTTTAAGTTTATCCCACTCCTATGCAAAAACAGAAGAACTTGATGCATGGAAAAAAAATTTTTTTAGACTTCGCTTTCCTTTCATTTGCATGATGCGAGGCTCACAGCGTCTGCTGAAGCACAGTGAACAGTTCACAGGGAAACGCGACAGGGTGTGGTTAGCTTTTTTTTTTTTTGGTTCAGTGTAGCAACTGCTTTCACGCAATATTAGAACCCACATAGGGATTTGAGCTTCTTATACCACAGTTAATGAATGCAGTGTTCAATTTAGCCACTAGGGGGAAACAAACTCCGTTCGGGTTTGGGCGCTGACAGGAGAAATGCCCAGTCCAATATTACTGTATATAAGAAATAGGGAAAGGTGCAATACACACTACATAGACATGATAGAAATAAAGCACTCAGACTTTTCCCAAGGCAAACAGCCGGTGGTTCAGCTAGAAATGCAGAATAAAAGAGTACTATCTCGTCCTATTTCTTTAACCTGTGTAGACATAAGGCCTCTTTTTACGTTGTTTGGTCCTGTAAATATGCAAGTGAAAATTCTGTGTATCAAGTCGGTGATAAAGAAGATCTGAAAATCTCCACACGTGCTGACAATAAGAGCTCTTCTCAATTTCGTGAAGTATATTTGGGGTCGTCCTTCTACAGAAATTATATTGCTGCTCTATAAC